GTATCTCGGGATTTCCCACCGGAGGGACGTTTTTCAACGTAATAAAACATGTTAAAGGGGGAGGGAGAATTTCCTTTTGATGTTGGATTAGAACTTCATTTTTTTCCCAGAATTGCAGCTCAATGAACTTGTGATTTTTGTTTCCGGACAGATATATTTGCGGGTTTGCTATAGACGTGATTTTAGACGAAAAATGCAATTAAATTACGAGGGTGTACTTAAAAGTAGATTTCCTTCCTGTATATCTCTAAAAGTTTGATAGATGGAGTAAATTCGTTAAAAGACTATATTATGTATATTTTAAGCTTTTTAACCATTTTTAATTTTTGGAGATGAGGTCCTCAGACTGTTGAGATATTTAATTCTCCACTGCGCCTATCCTCTCTCACCGCTGGCCCAATTTCAGGCGTTAAAGCCGTTATGCATGAAATATGACACAAAATGAACATTATATCTGAGAAACATATCAAGATACTTAAATTCAGGCTCGGACTGGCCATAAGGTCAATCTGCCATTGGCAGATACGCTCCCTTTGAGCGTCTAAAACGCGCCCCTCTTACAGATAGCAAAATAAGAAGAAGAAAAAATTACGACCGAGAATATGTGAGAAAAATTTCTTTAATGAACGGAAGAAGAGAGAGTTAGGAGTATAGGAAGGTGCTTTAACGCATGATAGTGGTGAACAGAGGTCCAAGAACTACTTTCTGAAGTGTAAACAAATTTCTGTGGAATTCTCACCTTCTTCATGACATACAGGCGCTTTATCATCCCCCACCTTCATTCGCTATGTGTAACTCCCTTAGAAGCGATGGTCGGTTCGATTTTTAGACATACGCATCCTTTACAGACCTCTTATGAGACCTTTAAACATATTTCCTCCTTTTCAAATGACTATTGATTTGGGCATACCATAGCATAGCTCGGGCAAACTTAACCTTAATTTATCTCGAAATTCAAAAATAAGAGACATCTAAAATGTAAACGCGATACAACTATTCGCGCAAGATGGATGTCCACATTGCATATGAAAAATGTAAGACGCGATGCCGTGAGTCGTGAACTCACAATGCTCTGCTCTAGTTTGAAGCAACATTACAAATAAGACAAACGCAAACAAACACAATATGGAAATAAAGATAGGAAAAAGATGCGCGTTAACGACGGCGCAGAGATACAACTATTCGTACTTGATGGACGTCCGTGCTGCATCTGAAAAATTGAAGGCACGATGACGCGAATCGTGAGCTCTCAATGCTGTGCTCCACGTTCAATTTTGCAATTGTTACTCCGTGCGATCAATAAACTTTGAACCTGAAAATATCGTAAACTTGTGCTGATTTGCCAAAATTTTCTGAGCCCCTCTCCACGTAAGGAATGCCCTACTAAGAAATATCACATTACGCCCCTTTAACCAGCCAAGGGTATACGCCCTCATATGCGAGCCAGTCCGACCCTGCTTAAATTCACTGTTTTATGCAGCATTTTTTTCAGTGTGGCACCAGTTTCCTTTTCTCATTAGCAAGAGAATCATACTATTTTATTTCATCACCATATTCCATGACTTCTTCGTCACTGTCGAAGTAGGTAATGAAATAATTTTTTGGGACAAAGGAACAGTAACTTAGCCACCTGTTTTACGATATTTCTCCGAAGAAGATGTACGAAATTTGGCAAGCGGAAAGGATCTCCACAATTATAGTTTTATAAATCTGTGGAGATGAGGAAAGAGACGGGCTGATTCGATCAAAGTTGAAGGCGAGATTGTTAATGCTCGCTTTTGAAACCAAAGCCATTTTCCATTTAACTCCATCAATCGGGTGAGCCAAATTTGTATGTGACTATTTTTCCTAAGAGCAGCTCCTTAGTTTTCTCAAATATCACGTGCCCCAAAATACGGATGGGCTAAAACGGAGTGATACGGGTGGAACTAACAGCTACTTCTCCGTGGTAAATTCTGGAAATTAATTTTTTACATGAATGAGAAATTAAGCTAAGCGTTGTTTGAAACCTCTCATGAATCGCACCTTAGTTATCGACGTTTGTTCCTACTTTATGCAGGTGTTAAACAGATATCCTGTGTATCTTTTCACTTGGAATCTATTTTTAATGTCAAAATGTTGATTTATAGAAGGTTTGTATCGAAAAATCGAAATATCTTGGGACATCTTCGAAAAAATCGCATTTTTAAACAAAAAATTGCAATAAATCGACATTAAAATTTGATATATCGATTTTTAAACCACAAAAATCGATTCTCTCATTCAAATGGAGATGTTGCATGTGTGTGAAATTTGCAATTTGACCACTGATTCTTGTGTGAAAGTTCGAGAAAAATAAGATGGTGCCACTGGTTCCCACTAAAATCAACTCCCAAGCTCAAAAAAAACGCTCAAAGTTGAGGCTGTAATGGAGGGGATATATCCCTCGCTATCCTAAGGATAAGGGGATATCCTCTTCTACGTCAAGACAAGCTCTCCATGCAAAGGAAGCATAAACATTAGCAGGGATGCCGTGTTTTCAGTTTTAGAGTCCCCAAATAAAGTGGCAGCGCTTGTCATTGTATTTGCTCCCTATCTTTGCATAAAGAGTTCGTCTTCTTGATGTAGAGGTGGACTCTCAGGATAGTGCGGGATATCCTCTCCATTACAGCCTCAACTTTGAGAGCTTTTTTTGAGCTTGGGAGTTGATTTCAGAGGAATTCAGTGGCACCATCATGTGTCTCGCAAACTTTTACATAAGAATCAGAAGTAAACTTGCAAATTCCTCACACATGCAACATCTCCATTGGCCCAGGCCCGTTTCCAATTTTAACGACCAATCAGCGAATTTCCCGCCAAGCGCCGGTTAAATGAAATGGCCAATCAGTGAACTTCCCGCCGCGCGCTGCGGTAAGTAGCAACGGCCAATCAGCGTTAAGGTGGGAAAAATTGAAATTTTATGTAATACAGGAGGGTGAGCGAAGTGTCGGCTTCCCCCCCCCCTTTTAACGTTTGAACGGATGCACGTATCAAAACGAAATTTTGGGGACGCGTCTAGGTCAATGAGAGCTACTTTTTGCAAATTACTTGCAATTTTTTTGTATTATTTTGCCATTCCTTTTTGCTACTTTTTCTAAAGTTTTGGTCGGGTGCCCCCGGCGGAGGGTTGGGGGCACTAACTCAAAATTTTCAAATTGTGAATCCCCCTTTGTAATAAATAGTTGACTGGCTAATAAAAAAGACCATTTTTGGCACAATAATGACTTACTGTACCCTACAATTATCCTCGGTTTAAGATAATTTTTCCTCCTCTGCATGTGTAAGAACTATTCCGATAAAATTTCAAGAGAGAGCTTTGTTATCCTTATTGACTAAACAGAATGGGCCGAGCGGAGATTTTGAGATTTTGCAAATAACGCGAAGTATACGGGGTTCCTGCAGTTTCTGCGTCAACATGTCCCCGGTAAAAATTGGCGATAGGAGCTGCGTTTCAAAATATCATAGGAGTTCTTATAGCCGACTGAAGAAGGCGATAGAAAATCATATAGCTGGCTGTAGAAAGAGGAAAAAATCATACGGCCGGGCTACACGAAGCGATAAAAAATGAAACAGCCGGGCTATAGTTCCTGTCGTCGGGCTTTACACTTTATCGCCTGGCTAATGTTTTTTCGCCATCGGCTATAAAAGGCTATAAGAAATTGTGTGGAAATTCGTGTGCTTTGTAAATCCTTAAGTTTGTACGGAATCACCATAATATTTACAAAACGCACATTATATTATCCTTCACTACATATTTGTTGTTATCAATTAAAATGAGAATAAATCCATACAGTGCGTGCAAACATTTCAAAGTCACGAGTTGATTAACGCTGACGCCACGAGATTAAATATTAAGAGCCTAACACAAAGCGAAGCGGCGGCGCACTGGCGCCTACAAACCTAACAGAGATACTTTACGCATTGCGCAATGCGTGCATTTTACGCATTACGCATTTGCGCGTTTCGCGCTGGCTGCCCGCCGCGCCGCCGCAGCGTACCACGGCGCTTGAAGCAACTTTCACACCAGAGGTATTGCACAGTATCGTGCGAAATTGAAGGCGCTCCAACATATTAGGAATAGCAGGCATCCTTCAAAAGTATGGAGCTTTCCTCGCAAAATAATTCAAGATACTCCGGCCCAAAAAGAGAGCGGTAGTCCAAAAACTCACTAAGTCCTAGCATCCTTAATTAGTAACGTTTAGCATACACTTTATCGTCAGGCTGTTGCTTAATCGCCATCGGCTATAAAAGGCTATAAGAAATTGTGTTGCCGGCTATAGAAGCTATTGGAAATCTTACAGTCGGCTGTAGGTCTATAGTATTTTGGAACACAAATTAGATTCTACTGCCAATTTTTACCAGGGGTATTACGTGCCGATAGGAATCTAGATAAGATCATATAGAACCAAACAATGCAAACCATTTGGCATTCAGATGGTCTTGTTCAAACATGGATGCAGTTTACTTTGAATATGGTAGCTTACTCAAACTGTACATTCTAACCTCACGTCTTACATACTAATCGTGGAGTACGTGGAAAGAGAAAAATCGAGACGTCTCCTCCAACCTTTTGCCTCTAATAGATTTCCAGAAAAGAATAATCTAATTTATTGTCTCGATTTTTCATAGTAAACCTTTTCCTTATTATTGCAACCTAATCCATTCATACGGTGAAAGGAATCATAAGTAACCCATAATTTTTCAAAACAGACAGAGTCAAGCGTTTCCATACAAAAACTGTTGGTTTTATCTATGTTTCTACCCTTTTTTAATGTGAACGTGAACGTGAATGACTCCAAATTTCTGCACGTCGAAGGGTTCGTATTTGACTGTTTCCGTTTTTTGACACCCCCCCCCCCCCTCCCTTTGCCCCCTTCCATGGATGGATGAATATGTCCCTCTCCTCTCCTTTCAGAATTGATGATTGATGACGTCAACGTCATAACAAACCAAATTTCAAAAAGTTAACCTCTATGTTGCATCAGCGCATCAGCATCACTCCGCTCAAAATCCATAGTCAAAATCGTGGTAATGATGTGCACAGCGTGAATTCTCTCATGTTAAAATGGAAGAAAATTAAGCAGAACCTGTCGAGACTGCCAAGCAGCTGGAGAAAGAGGCGAAAAAGCAAGCCAAACTCGAAAAATTCAAGTTGAAACAACAGAATGTTGAGATGAAACCAAAACCAGCCGCTGAGGTATGTTTCGTTACCGCATTTTTCTGTGTCTGTTCCCGTGGATGATGGAAGATACTTTTTTTTCTTTCTCTACATCATGATAGCCTTTATTCTTTTTGAAACATCTCCTCAACCTCATTCCAAGGTCCCTGACCAAAATTAGACCGAAAACTTGAATGCTCTTCGAGGAAATTTAGCTCAACATCATTCCTGATTTGCATGATTCTTGCTGCACCTAACGGTCTGTAAGTGATGCTTTAGGGAATGGCCTTATGTAGTATCAGCTCAAAATTTCATTGTTAGATGGTTTTTATCATGAATATACCCTTAACTGAATGCTAGTGTGATTTAGGTTTTGCAGGACTGGAAATTTTGCTTTTACGAAAGATGCTTTTTCCGGCTTTAGACTCAGGAGCATACTATCGAGGATCACATTTTCTCATCGATGTATTACACAATCTAGACCGTGCATTAGGATCCTTTAGCAAGGAGATAGGTACTTCGGCAGCCTGTTTTTCATGTAGAATCTGAAAATTCGATGAATCAGAGGTATCCTTTGGCCAAATGCTCACAATTGACATGACCAGGTTCTAAAACTGGGGAACAAAAAGGATAGACAAACGTCACATCTATAATTCACGTAGTGAATTACTAGCATCAGATGCTAGCAAGCAACAGGTTTTTTAGATTTTTCACACTCCGCTATGCGTCCTATTCTTCATTTTAATTCGTAGTTTCTTATCGCTTGATGTAGTGTAACTTCCTTAGCCTCGATAATGATCACAAAGATCGAAAAGCTTTGGCTCTAACAAGAAGTTTACTTTCATAACACATTGGCGTTGTGTGTTTTACATAACCTCCTGATAATTCATTATTGATGTTACAGTGATATTCATCACAATGTTCAAATATGAACATTAATGGTTCTGATCATCTACAAATCATGATCTCAAAGCTTTGCAAAATGTCACAGAAATACATTTGTTTTCTAATTTTAGTTCTTTGGGGCCAGATAAGGTGCTGGCGCCTAACAGCTCACTTCTCCATACTTATTCGTGTTTGCCGGAAAGTACCACTGTTACTAATGCATTGAATTTATAGGCAGTACAGAAATTCTGAAAAGTAGATCGTCAAAAAAATTTTGGTGTTTAATGAGTAGGGATCAATAAAAAATGATGAAAGGGTTTTTCTTTTTCAGAAAACCTTTTCTTGGAAGACTGTCTGAATATGCAGACTTCTCACAATTTTATCTTCTCTTAATTCTCAGAATGACTATGCGTTGGCTCAAATGCCCCTATGATGTGAATCTTTGTCTTGATATTTTGTAATCATAAACCCTTATTTTTCTTTCCTCATAGCGGCAATCAATTTCAGAACCAAATCCTAAAGGGCAGTTTGTCATGGTGATACCGCCACCTAATGTAACCGGCTCTCTACACCTGGGGTATGCACTTACTAATGCTGTAGAAGATGCTATCACAAGATGGTACGCAATTCAGCTTTAACCTCTTTTACTAAATCAACAGAATTTTGTTTCACACATTGATCTCTTCAGATTCTGAACCTGATCAATAATAAAGTATTCATGCGAATGCAGTCCACCATTGACCGTTTTGTTATCGCTCTAATAACAGATCTCTGGATACACTTGAAGATTTCTTACAAAGTTTGGAATCACTATGCAATTGTGTTATGCACAGACGCCCATTCTCAAATCTATAAATGTGGTCTGTTTTAGTTTGGGGAAAATAATACAGGAAATGGGCTGCTGATAAATTGTATTTAACTCAATGATAGTGGTTCAACAATGATTGGAACTTCACACGTGTCAAATTAAATTTTCCTCCTCCAAAATGTATCGAAGTTAAACCATGATCGAAACCTTTGTCTTTTCAGGCATAGAATGAAAGGTTGCACTACGCTTTGGGTTCCAGGCTGTGACCATGCTGGTATCGCCACTCCATTCGTTGTGGAAAAGAAGCTTTGGAGGAAAGAGAAGAAGACAAGGCATGATATCGGAAGAGATAAATTTGTCGAAAAAGTTTGGGAATGGAAGAGAGTAAGTTCTGTTCTCCTTAGACAGCAGTCATGGCTACAAAAAATTTAAATTCTCTAAGTGATAATCTAGTGCAATTTGTTTGCCGTACAAATTTGCATATTAATTTTTTAGGTTGATGCAGATCTGATTTTTTCCCCTGCACCCCTTGACAGGGTTGCCACAGTCAGGGAATACCAAGATAGCTGGTGTCAGGGAAAAATTGTGAAGTCACCCTTTTTTGCTTTCTTGAATGGGTTTGACATTTCGAACAATAAATTTTGCCTGAAAACTATTTCTAAATTTGTATTTCCAACCATCTGGCGTATCCTCTATTTTCAGGGAATTTCACCAAAATGTGTCAGGAAATTTCATTTTCTAAATTCTTTGGTACCTCTGCCTTGCATTTGGCTTGTTTTTGGCGTATTGATAGTAGTGGCGTAAGTGTTCAGAGGGTCATATTTTTTCCAGAAATCCCCCCCCCCCCTCTTAAAAAGTTGGTGAAGAAAACATGAAGGATCAAAGTTGGTATGGATCTAAATAGTGATTGTAGTTCAAAAGAACTTTTCCAAAAGCATTTAAAAATATTACCACATAGTTTCTATTCTTCTTAATTTTAAGTAAATTTTGCTTCGGAGTAACTGCTAATTCTTGTTGCATACTTAGCATTTCTATTAATGATCCAGTTTGATTCGAGATTGAATTGAGTCTGCGTAAGTAATTTTTTAGCTGAAACTGAGTGTACATTTTCACATTTGAACTGCTCTCCTTAATATTTCTGTCCTCTTCATTTCATCAGGAAAGGGGATAGAATTTACCCACATCTTTGGAGACTTGGGTCTTCTTTGGACTGGGATAGAGCCAGCTTTACAATGGATCCAAAATTATCCCGAGCAGTAGTCGAGGCATTTATCTGACTGTATGATGAGGGTGACATTTACAGGAGTGATCGACTTGTCAATTGGTCTTGTACTCTAAAATCAGCCATTTCTGATATTGAGGTAAGTTCTTTTTAAAAGAAAATCTATATTTATGGAACTGTGACAATATGGTCCTTTAAATTTTTCTCTCTGTCTTTAGACTGTTTGCTCTCTTTGTATTCTTTTTAGTCTCCTCGGAGCCTCTGAAGAAATACTTAAAAAATGTACTAGTTAAACTGTGGAACTGAGAGAAAAATGAAAGAGTTAGATGACCGACTAAAAAATGATTAGGGCTTTTTTATATTTAATATCAAACAGTGGAACAGTAAGCATTATAATGTGTTATTTCAGGTAATATTGGGAATTCAAATTTTTCCTCAGAAATTCGTAAAATTATGATTTTAGGCTAAATGGGCGTATCTATGCCAAATAAAGCCATGCATGCATATTGTTCCTTTTAGCATGAATAAATCCAAATGATGTCCACATTATATTGCTGTTAAGTTCTTATCAGGTTTGCTCAAGAGATTTTTTACCTAGTCCCTAACTAAGTAAAGGGCTTACTGCACTGTATCAAATGTACTTATTTTCACCTTTACCAGTATGATCTGTTGGAATCAGAATCTTTCCTCACTTTTAAATCTCACTCAGAATATGATGTGGATCTAGTATATTTCATCTGACATATATTTCATCTGACAAACCATATATAACAGGCAAATTGCCCCCGAAAAGGTATGAAAAAAAATGTTCCTACTGAAAAAAGATTTTATTGTATTTTTTTTTTCGGCATCTATGAAGCATTATTTCCTGTTGATCCCAGAGGAACATTTCGAATTTACAGTCATTTTGCATACTATCGAACATTGGGAACTCTAATGTAGTTCTATGCACAATGTTAATCCTACAAAACGGATCAACTCCGCATTTTTACTTTAAAGTCCAATATTTGGAAACGAATTCTCAAGATGTGACTGAAAAATGTAAATATCTATCATATTTTCACTGTTCTCTCTTGAGGTTCAATTATTTTCTTCTCAATTTGATATTTTCTCCCTTTTTTACTTCAATAGGTAGACAAAATTGAACTGACTGAAAGAACTTTTCTACCTGTTTCTGGTTATGAAAATAAAGTAGAATTCGGAGTTTTGGTCCTATTTAAGTACGAAGTAGAAAATAGCGATGAAACACTGACGGTAGCTACCATGCGTATTGAAACAATGCTCGGAGATGCAGCAGTAGCTGTTCATCCTAACGATAGCCGATATAAGCATCTTGTAGGCAAAACTGTCAAACTTCCTTTCTGTGATCGGAAAATACCTATTATTACTGACGACTTTGTTGATATGCAGTTTGGAACAGGTAAGGAATAATGTTAGCATTTATTATTTTTTCTTTAAGTAACAACAATCATTTGTCTTGCATTGAGCGCTGTAAATTTGTCAACATCCCCCTTTTTCAGTTGTCAAGGTTTAATTTTTAGGCGTAGTTTATTCATGGCATGCCATGGCGTGAGAATACTGCACAATTTTTAACAGTCACAAAATTCTTGGTGGTAATGTCGTTTAAAGTGAAGCTTCTGAAGTTAAATGTCTTCATTAATTTTATTGTTTCAGGAGTTGTTAAAATTACCCCAGCTCATGATCATAACGATTATCAAGTTGGGCTACGACACAATTTGCCATTCATTACTATCTTAAGTGATGAGGCCTACATCATGGGAGATTATGGAAAATTTACTGTGAGTTTATTAGGTTTTTGTGAATTTTAAATATTGATTTGGTGATTTTTTAATATCGGTTATCAATCTTCCGACAGTTAAACTGTTGGAAGATCGTATTTTATAAGATGAACAATTGAAGGTGCGAACACAAATGAAAGACAAGACTATCCTCATCAATTTTTTTCACCACGCTTAATGTATGAGCTAACTTGACGTGATAGTTTTCTTATCAACAAAATAGACAAAATTGATGGCTGTGTTGATATGAATTTTAAATTTGAAGGAATTGGACTTCTACCAACGAAAATACAGCCTTTGATGTTTACTTTGTGTGTATAAATTTTTTTTTCCCTTTTAAGTGATATCAGTCACTCGGGATTTTCTCATCTTCTTTATCTTATTTCAACTTTCAATCTACATTTTTTTTTAAGGGAATGAAAAGATTTGATGCCAGGAAAGCTTTATTAGATTTGAAAGAAAAAAATCTTTTCGTTGAAGTTAAAAATAATCCTATGGTTGTTCCAATCTGTAGTAGATCTAAAGATGTTGTTGAACCACTGCCAAAACCACAATGGTAATGCTTGGTTCACTATCTGTTCAGAATTGTATTTTTCCCTCTGCTGTGTGAAAATTAAATAGATTTTTGAGATAATTTATTTTCTTGACAAAAATCATCATTCAAAAGTGGAACACACAATTATTTTAAAATCGTTTGTGCTACATCTCTGGTCTTGAAGAATGGAGACAAGGTACGAAGTTAAACATTCTGATACATGTTTCTAAACCTAAATTTAAGGTAGAACACGATTCCTGCAACGAAGTTTAGTGAAATTGACTCCTAACCAAGATATTCAATGTATCTTGACTGAATTCAAACCTTCCGCTCATGAAAACCTAATGGTCTTTGTACGTCAAATCGGACACCAAATGTTACCGTCGCAGTCTCTGCAATACAAAAATGTGGCAATCTGAATATTGACCTTTTGGCTCAGCTATAACAAATTGTTTACTATTCGTACAGTAAAGGGTGGGAAATTAACGATGTTTGATTGAGAAGCCTGCCAAAACGGTTGCAGTGCACGATTTGACTCTCAGAGAGTATTGTGTTCCTTGTGACCAGGCAATTCAAATTTCCCGTAACTAATGTAAAGTCAAAGTGTTAATATCTTACCTAGGAGTTGATTTCAGTAATTTTCGATGCCAAAATCGTTTTCCTCAATGAAATTCTGTTTTAGAAACATGTATCAGAATGCTTAAGTTTGCACCTTGTCTAGTCGTCCATTATTTGCAAGTTTTTTAATTTGGTGGACCCCTTTTTTAACTGGTGTTACAAAGTGTTCTCAAATTTCAATTCATAGTAAATTTACCGAGACTGCAAGGGAGGGTTATTTGTTGCTCTCTGTTTTCCAGTCCTCCGATTTTCCCCAATGAGACGTCAGATCACCTCTTAATTTCCCTATCAATAACTGTTGGAAACTCACCCCAGTAAATTTTTTATTGTTTTATCTCTGCTTCCACCAGTTAACTGGTTCACAGTCTATCATTTGGGTTACATTGCTGGCTCATTTTTTAAAACTTATACTTCTACACGGAAACTAATGGTACATAAGTTTTCTCTTAATTGAGCCAGAAATTTTAGTTCCAAAGTGCCAAATGTTGTCCAATTTCGTTTCAATGATTGAACTTGATTATTTAGTAGAAATTGATGAGATGTGCCCGAACGACAATTCTGTGAAAAATGATCAGATGACACAGTTTTTATGAACCATCGTTGATTTTTTGTAGGTACATCAAGTGTGATGAAATAGCAAAGAAGGCAATGGAAGCTGTGAACAGTGGAGAGTTGAAAATTATCTCCGAACAGCACAAGAAGATATGGTTCCATTGGATGGAGAATATCAGGTATTAAGTCTTAAATTATTTGTCTCCTATTTATTCATCAAAATTTACTCTGGATCATCCTTTTGTCTAAGAATGATTGGTCCCATATTTGTCATTTCAATAATTTATAATCTACCGAAATAACAGAGAATATATTAATAGAACGTGGGGAGAAAATGTTTAGTTTTCATGCCTCTTTTAAAAACTTTTTGTAAGTCTCACAAATTCTTTTAATTTTTTGAGAAGGTGGGGAGGAGTCCTTCACAAGTCTCTAAATTCCACTGTTTTGCTAATTAGAAGTCCTCAAAAAATCCTGGAGGCTGACAACTCGGATTTGACTATCAATGATAGAGTATAGATGGTTTTTTGTTGTTAACACAGATACTCATTCATTCATTTTTGTTTCAGAGATTGGTGTGTGTCTCGTCAGCTTTGGTGGGGTCATCGTATCCCTGCTTATCACGTCACTGTGAATGACCCTGCATGTTTCAAACGCCCGGACATCGTAAGTCTTTGAGAGTATTCAAATCAAATTGTTCCTTTTTTTTTATTTCGGATTCTTGTAACTTGTAACTACTCTTTATTAGCCAAGGAAAATTTATGGAAAGTATCAAGGCATTATGTTGTTTGGCTCCAGTGGCGATTCTTGAAAGTTGACAACACTGTTTTCTCTCCATTTAAATGTAGGTAAAACAATCGATTCTTAATGAGGCAGCTCGCCTCACCTAAAATTGGAATAGGTGAGGTTTTTTTTTTTTTTTTTATCAATTTTATACATCCATCTCAATTGATGTATATGACGGGAAAACGGTGTTGCCAACTTGCAAAATCACCATGTTTTGGCTCTCTGTCAAAGAAATAAAACTTGAGGGGAAATTTGGCTACGTGAAATGCAGTTAGACTTATCCTGGCTGAATCCGTCCACTTGTAATTTAGTAATGATTTTTTGCCGCGAACATTTGATACATTAAAGGAATTGCAGTGATAGAGGGCTAAGAAAAATCGAAAGAGAAAAATTTTGAAGTAAATTCTAAAGATATGCCCTGAGTGATATAATAAAGAAATTCGTGAGGGAAATTACCGTAGAATGAATTAGACTACATTTTGCAAATTAGGAACTACAATATCTACCTCATTTGTAAAAAAAAACTTTGTGCATAAGAAAAACAATGGTACATACGTTGTTCCTGACCTGAGTTATAAATTGTTGTAGTTCCTAATTGTAAAACGTAGTCCAATTGACCGAATTTGATCAGGATCAGTTGAATTTTGTCGCCTACTTCTCTGATGTTTTATTTTTTTAAACAGAAAATTACAAATTTTAGCAACATATAAAAAGACATATAATAAAGGCATATAATTTAAGATAAATTCAAAGAGAGTTTAAAGGAAATTAGTCCTTTAGTTGTGTGTTAAAAAAATGAAACATGAAAAAATTAGGTAACATGAAATGCAGTTTAACTCATTTCTACAAATTCTGTCCAAGCGTTGGATGAAAATTTTACTAATTTGTATCCAAGATTTTTACTCTTGGATCACCAAAACGAAAACCTCTTAAAACTGAATAAATACAAAATTGAATGTGTTCTAAACTTTGTAAGAATGTTTTGAGTTTACTCTTCGGGTTAGGAAAAATTTGTCTTTCACCTCATTTCCTCTTGTGAAAAAATTAAAGGAGTCTGTCACAGCAGCAGTTTTATTCGCGCTGTTCAAGTTAAAAGAACATTACGATTGGTACAAAAGAGATTTGGGAGCTGTAAAAAATTAATACTGAGAAATATACGCATTTAGGTTAGAGTGAATATTTGTAACGCTACATCCAATTTTGTACATTCATCACAACAACATTAAGAAAGCCGGAATTAGGAAAATTCACACAAATAAATTATAATTGCAGACGCGTTTCAGAGCTCCCCTGCCCCTTCTTCAAGGCTAAATTCTAACTGGTTGTTGTTTGCTGTCCACTCATCTCCTTCCTTCTTATCTTTCTTATCAGGGCTGCCATCTATCACTCTATTTATTTATGCGAGTCTGAGTCTTTTAGTTCCAGCTTTCTCTAAGTCATTTTTTAGCTTTCAGTCTGATACCTCGGTTTCCTGTTTGTTTCATTTTGTTTTTTTGTTACTCTCGGTTTATTATTCATCACAATTTGACGTAATCTAAGAATTGACCAAATACTGATTCTGTCACTGGCATATATGTGTTTGAATTAAGGAAATTAGTCATATCTAAATTGCTGTTTTTCAAATTCTCATCTGTGTTGATTTTTTGGAAGGAAACCAACACACTCCCTTTTGAACATTGTTGCACTATATCTTGCCCGCACGAAAGTTATTGTCACAAAATTTCAAGCAAAAATTTTGGTTGTTTAGCCTCTTAAAACTTAAAATAGGAGATGAGTCATTGAAACGCTGCAACATAAATGTGACTGTTTGTCTAGCTCTAGTTAAATTGTGTCCAGTACCAAAAAGAAAGAGTGCGCAAATTGAAGTTGAATTTGTAAAAATAATTAAAAATCCTCATATCCTCTTTTTTTAGGTAAAGACATCAACTTGGACATCCTGTGCGTGCAAGGATATCGTTTCTTCTGTAACAAGCTTTGGAATGCTGTCAAATTTGCCCTCATGTACTTCAACAATAAGCCAAAGAGTGAAGTAAGTTGTGAAATGGAAAACCGATTTGAACAAATTATCGAGAAGTGCAAAAAGTCTCTCTCCGTCCAGTTAAATCAGTCTGACGTATCAGTTCTCAACAGCTATTTTGAGCTTTACAGTTATGGTGATGGTTACTTCTTATGTGAACTAGATACAATTTAATTGACGTCTCTTAAAAATACTAAAATCTCTTCTCATCAGTATCCACATCTTTTTCGGTGGCATCAACATATTAAATCTCTGTCATATCTACTTTCTTCTTCTTCTTCTGGGGATGGTGTCTGTGTGGGAACTCAAGGTCATGGTGCTAGGAGTAAAGCAGTGGACAGCAGTTTTTTATGTTAGCTTGGCTTTTAATTTTGGGCTTCTTGTGTTCCAGCTGCTTGAATTAAAATTGATGCATGTGGGTCCTTTTTGTTTTTTTTTTGTAAAATTTAGAACATTGGAAATTAGTACATTTGAGTATTCAGTCTCCTGTAACTTCATTATTTGCATGAAAACAGTAGATCAGCCATCATCACTAAGATGATTTCCGCTATTGCTGATTACTTAGTTTTCCGGATTTTTTAAATTATGATTTTATGCCTTGCTTTAAAATGAAAATGGGGGGGGGGAGGGGGAATTTTCATGCAAGCTGAATGAACTATATGTTTTGTGTGATCGAAGTCACACACACAGGGGGGTGTGATAGAGTTCAGTAGGAAACTTCATGCATACTCTCTAAAAATCCAATGTCTACATGATGAAAACTGGGAAAAAATACTATAAATTGTTTTTTATAATTAAAATTATATAAGTAAAGCAACCAATAGAAAAAATGAAAAATAAAAAACATTCATGCTCAATACAAACCTTAGATTTTCTTCGCTTTCCACATGATTTTTCAAACTCTCAGTAGTAAAGATGTTACGTAGTATCTTTTTGCTTTCCTCTACTGTTGAATCAATACTTCTCTCTGCTGTCAGCTGTTAAGCAAAAATGTTTTTAATGTTTCAAGTTTTTTGCTCTTTACCAGTGGCGTGCAGTGAAATTTAGTTTCTCACTTGCACATTACCTGGTTGTACTTTGAATCTACTGGTGCGACGGAAACAGATAAGGAAAGCCTGTTTCATCTGTTTTCGTCTCTTTAATGGGCTCAGAGGGCATCCAGGGAATGTGCGAGTGAGTTACAAAATTGTAGCATTGTCACTGCTTTTTGCATCCCTTTTTTGGGTTCTAATATGCATGTTTTTTAGCGTCAAAGTCAAATATTTTTGTTGATAAATTTACCTGCTGTGAATAATGTAATCGTCATTCCAATGAAAAAATTACTGGAGGAGTTTCTGAAAATCAGCTGTACTAAGTAATAATATTTCTTTTCCATTAAAAATTTAATGTCATCATTTTGTAAACTATGTTTTGTCAAGGAATTTTTGACGTCAATGATTTTATCTCATACCTAGGTCAGTAGTCGATGAACCATCTTAACATATGATGTCCATTTTAAAATTTTTATCTTGATTGAAAAATATTTCTTCTCAAGCACTGATCTTTTACAATTTATTTTAAATTTAATCCTTATGTTTCCTTTCCTTTTCAGAGCTTGGATAAATCTGAAAGTGTTATGGACAAGTGGATCCAAAGCAGATTAGCATACGCAGTCCAGACTTGCAATGAATCCTTTGTAAAATATGAATTTAATGTCATTACTACAGCTTGTTACAACCTTTGGCTCTACGATTTATGTGATGTCTATTTGGTAATTAGATTTTGTTTCTTATATTTATTGCTTCAGAAATAGAGAATTAAACACTTTGTAGAGCATTAAGACCTCAAGACTGTTCGAAACTCTACTTTTGAGGAATGAAAACTTGTTAAATGAGTCCAAGTGGAATAATAAGCTTTATTGAGTTAAGCATTAAGAATTCAAGATTAAGTACATAGGTTGTCCCAAAAGTACTGCACGTTTTTTTTTTTTGGACGAACGGTAGCAGATATCAAAATGCGGTTTGTGTAGTCTTAAAAACAGAGCAATTACCGATAAAACAACACAAATCCGAGCTCTCTAAGTCAAAAAATGACCAAGTTACAGGATTTTGAAAATGGCCACCAGGGGGGACCCCTAGGGTGCGTCAAAAAAAATGAAAGTCTGAAATTTTCCGCTCCCCAGGCGGCAATCGATGACGTTTGGTAAAAAAAAGTTCCAACTATTTTGCACAATCCTCCAAAAAGTGCACGGCTCGAGAAGCAGGATCGTGCTATAATAGTAAGGGGAAAGTGCGGTTTGACCGGGAAAAATTGCGTAACAAACTTTCCCTATGTAATCGTCATCAGTAGGTCCCCCTGAACAACTTCCTAAAAGTTAAAAATGGCCCGACCCCGGAATACCCCTCAAAAAAGTTAAAATTGAAAATGGCGGCCGTAATGAGAGGGTCCGGGAAATCGGTATTTTAAAATGCTCATTCTGTCTCATCATGTGAGGTATCATTTCCTATGTAATTTTGGTCGTAGATTCCATGAATGAATTCCGCAAGGCCCCTTCTAAGCTTACGTTTCTCTCGGTAGTCGTATGTTTCCTTTATTTTCCTTTATTAAATACATTTATAACATCAAATTTAAGTTTCTTGGCCATAAATACATGAAAATAAAGACAATTCACTTTCCTTGTTCCTTCGGTGAATATTTAAAAAAATGCAACCTCCTGCCTTTCACATTTGGCCGCCATCTTTGATTTAGAGCGCCCCCTTTGGCCGGAGGGCCTTGTGGAATTCATTTATGAAATCTACGACCAAAATTACATAGGAAATGATACCTCACATGATGAGACAGAATGAGCATTTTAAAATACCGATTTCCCGGACCCTCTCATTACGGCCGCCATTTTCAATTTTAACTTTTTTGAGGGGTATTCCGGGGTCGGGCCATTTTTAACTTTTAGGAAGTTGTTCAGGGGGACCTACTGATGACGATTACATAGGGGAAGTTTGTTACGCAATTTTTCCCGGTCAAACCGCACTTTCCCCTTACTATTATAGCACGATCCTGCTTCTCGAGCCGTGCACTTTTTGGAGGATTGTGCAAAATAGTTGGAACTTTTTTTGAAACTGAGGAAGTTCTGATGACATTTGCATCCTCAACACTTGCCTACAGTTCATTTACACCCTCTTTCGACTTATTTTCGTGAAAAATGAGTCTTTTAAACCTCTATTTTCTAAGACCTCGGAAATTCTGAGGACCAAAAAAATAAATACCGAGTTGAGTTTTTCTAGTTCAATTTGATTTTTATCGGTTACAAAGACGTCTCCCTAGTGTAAAATTTCATCCTCTACAAGTCGAGTTCTTTGGCATTTTTGTCGTAAACGCACGATTTCAGCGTAAAATCAAGTTTTTTGTACGAAATCGAGGTCTAAACCAAAATATCATAATTTCATCACAAAATTGACCTTTGGCACCATTTAAAATGGTCGAAATTGGCTCAAATTTTGGCAAACATGTTTTTTTACCAAACGTCATCGATTGCCGCCTGGGGAGCGGAAAATTTCAGACTTTCATTTTTTTTGACGCACCCTAGGGACCCCTACGGAAATTTTAGCTTCTTTTCTGGAAAAAAAAACAAAGATTTAAAGATTCAAGATCAATTGGTTTTATTAAATCAATTTTACACAATCTTACCAAGATTACTGGCATTTAATCCTCTTCACTTGACGACTGGACACTGATTTCCTTCTCAAAATACCTTCCATCGCTTGCCACACAGCGCCGCTTCCCACTTCTTCAAACATGTTTTTTCGAATTCTTCTTGCCTGATGTTCTTCAAGAAAGTTTCAACAGCTCTTTTTATCTCGTTGATGGAGTTCAATTTCCTGCCTCTTAAGCCCTTTTTCAGCGTAGGGAATAACCAAAAATCGCAGGGTGCAAGGTCCGGGCTGATGTCATGTTGCCAACTTCATTCGATCGCGATGATTTCTCTGTAGAATTATTGTTTAATCAAATCTTTGTTTTTTCCAGAAAAGAAGCTAAAAATCCTGGAGGGGTCACCTCTACAAGTCATTTTCAAAACACTGTAACTTGGTCATTTTTTTACTTAGAGAGCTTGGATTTGTCTTGTTTTATCGGTAATTGGCCGGTCTTTAAGACTACACAAACCGCATTTTGATATCTGCTACCGTTCGTCTAAAAAAAAAAACAATCAACTCTTTGTTTTTTCCCGGAAAAGAAGCTAAAATTTCTGTAGGGGTCCCCTCTGGAAGCCATTTTCAAAACCCTATAACTTGGTCATTCTTTGACTTAGAGAGCTCGGATTTGTGTTGTTTTATCGGTCATTGCTCTGTCTTTAAGACTACACAAACCGCATTTTGATATCTGCTACCGTTCGTCCAAAAAAGAAAAACGTGCAGTACTTTTGGGACAATCTATGTATAAATTTTTAGAGTCCAGACTGAGATATGTCCAATTTTACATGAAATTTTGTCAACTTAGAAAGAATATTCTGTGGCAGTTTACAATTAAGTGTCAACCTGAGCTACACGGGAAAAAAAAGGTTTGCTGAATTAATATATGGTATGTTATAAATCTGTGCAGCAACTCTGGAATATTGAATTGAATGTTTCGGTTGTTATTTCAACGTTACAAGGATGTTACTCAACAGCTGGAGCGTTCATAACAACACTCTCAGAGCTGTTGCACAGATTTTTAACATCCTAGTATATTAATCCAGCAAAAATTGTATTTCTGTGTATAATCAAAACCGAGGGATGAGGGAAGGAAAACAACCGCAACCTTTTTTGGTTGTCTCAGTCAAGAGCACAGAAATGAGGGGACAAGCAAAAAGGAACGAAGGAATTGTCGTTTATTTTAGGTTGCCTCCATAGTATGCCAGCTTTTGATGAAAAATGTGGTTTTTTTTTTGCCATTACCTCACTCATTTTTGGAGGATTTACAGTCTTTTAAACTATGAATTCTCCATTTGTTTCCAGGAATCAGTGAAACCAGTGTTTGCATCAGGCTCGTCAGCAAGTATAGCGGCTGCACAAGAAACCCTACTTTTGTGTTTACACACAGGTTTAAGGTTACTTTCACCTTGCATGCCTTTTATTACTGAGGAGCTTTATCAAAGGCTTCCACTGCCAAATCCAGCCCTCAGTATTTGCGTCGTCTCCTATCCTGAATCTGTAAGGAAGATATTTTTAGTTACTTAATTTATTGTCTAACAATTATTAGCATCTATTTTCACAATAGTAATGCTTCATGAAAGGTCTCTGAGAGAAGGGGATTTTTACAGATGAGTTGAGCAAACCTTTAGTAACGTCAGCTTACAGGGCCAACACAGAAGCTGTTGGCTCAATTCCTTTCCTTTAAAAAAATAAAAATTAGTGAAGACTTGTGACACCGCAATATGAAGTATGTATTTTTCAACTTCAACCATTGATATGCATTCAAATCACAGATTATCTGCGTTTGTTTTGCCGCCAAAGATAGAAGTGAAAATCCAAGTTAAGTATTTTCGTTTGTATCACTAAGTGGGCTGATTGTTGAAATTGATAGACAAATCTATAGAAAAAGAAGACAAAAGAGATATGGAGGGATCCTATGGTGAAAGCGGATGGTTGCAATGGGCAAAGGAGGTAGGTAATACAGTAACTAATGGCAACCCATGAGAGATCCTATAGTTAGTCCATCATTTACCCCCTTAGTCTGTAAAAACCACCCGTTTCAACCAATAGAATCGTTCCACGCTCCTTATGTCTCCTTTGTCTATTGCTTTCTCTCTAAATTTCAACAATCAGCCTGCAGGGCAAGTTCAGCGTTCCCAACTGAGAGTAACTACTGAGAGTTTAACTTGTGTTCCTATTATTTCTCTCCCTGTTCTGTTCACTTTAATTAAGGATAATCTGAATGTAATGAACAGAAATCATAAAAAGTAAGTTATCTTCCTACAAAGTAATGTTGAAGTATTGATTTTTTCCAACTTTTAGTAATATAACCATAATTTTATTTTGTTCACAGGAGGAATATAAATTCCGTGATGTGCAACTAGAAGAGGAGGTAGAATTCATGCAGAAAATTGTTCACAGAATTCGATCGGCTTGTTCTGACTACAACCTTGCAAAGTCTGCAAAAGTCGAAGGTAATTAGAATTTTCTTAAAATCTGTCAAAAGAAGGTCATGAAAATGAATGGCTCGATTGCAGGGTTGAGAAATTCTTGAAAATACTACTTTTATAGTGTATTTTGCAAAGGAAATATACTATTTTTTAAAATTATTCAAAAATCCTTGAAATGCCCTAAATTTTGCATTGTCTGCGTATTTCAATCATCTTGAAGATAGGTGTTTTCTCTCTTGGTATGAAGTCTTCCCAAAACTGAAATTTTGTTGTGTGTACATCACATAGTTTTTGTCTCTATGTCTTGGTAGAGAGAGTGAATATGTAAATGGTAAATTCTCTTTAAGTCCTTAAAATCACTTTTACCCACTCTGGGAAGTACCAGAAAATTTTTTTGGTAATCCTTGAAAGATCCTGGAAAGTCTGACTTTCCAAATGTGAACTCTTGAAATTTCTTTATAATGCTCGATTTTGTTTTTAAAAAATGTCATAAATCCTCATTAATAATCTACAAAATTTAATTAGACCAATATATTGCCCCATTTTGTAATTCTCTACCTAACAAAGGATTTATTGCCCGCTAGAGGTAAAGAGACAGCCTAAAAATATAGAGACTTTTTACTCGTAAAATTGGACAAAATTCAAGATCAGTGCATCATAAGAGTCTGAAATTCAGCCTCACGTACGCAATGTGCATGATTTGTAACACACTTTTTCAATTTCGTTGCATCCGTGGGCAATTTTTCCTAGAGGCTGGCAATCAGGCTGGCCCAGAGAATGACACTAGGAGACCTTAGCTTAACAAACCAAAATACCTACAAACTGTCAAAAAATATCTTCTTATATATTTGAAAACTTTTTTTGTATATTTGCATGCGAGGGTGTGTGTGCAAAACAAAGAAATAAGGAGAAAACGAAAGCTTGAAAGTGAGGTATTCTTACATCTTTCTCCGGGCAAATCTGGTCACTGGGGGCAAGAAAAACTGTCGGCAGACGCATAAGCTTTGTAAAAAGCACGAATTTTGTGCTATCTAGTGAATTTCATACTTTCTTTATGTGTCCATTGCAATTTTTATGTGATGTTATCTATAGATAGTCCATTCACTTGCCCACTCCTCTTGCGAGCAACAGATTTTCCTGCATGAACAAAAAAAGTTGTAGAAATCCTGTGTCAACATTTTTTTTTTGCATTTCCTCTTTTGGAAAATTTAGCAGGCTTATTCTCAGTGTCTAGATGTTTCTGAAAATAAAGTTAGTGCTTTTTTCCTATTTTAGCGTATGCTGTTTGCACGTCAGATAGCGTTAAAAACATCATAGAAAAGTTCTCATTGGTGTTGCAGAAATTGGCTTTGTGCAGCCAGTTAGAAACATCTGAGGCTCCTCCGGCTGGGTGTGCCATTCTTTCTGTTTCGGATTAATGCCAAATTCATCTCTCTCTGAAGGTGTGTGCCAGCATTATGTTTTAATTAAAGTGACGTATATCTTGTACCTTAAAGAAACAAACAGTCTATTCTGTAACTAAAGGCGTATGATGATTACATGGATGGTTTAGTTCCGTAAGATCCCATGTTAAAAACCGTGGGCAATTTTGGTTGATTGTAGCGCAGTAGAGCGCTCTTGTAGCGGTCTTTGGAACTAGAAATTTCGGATATTTACTGCTCAGACCGATTGAGTGCGCTGGCGTCTTGGGGCCCGGCTGGACTGCTTGGTAACCTGCCAGATTTAATCTTTTCTCCAGCCCCAACCAAGATCCCAAATTGATACAGGCAATATATTATTCTCCATATTAAACCCTTTTTCATGAGTTTGTCGAAAAAATACATAATTATGACATGAAAGTGCACTGTGGAGGCTGAATTCATTGCCCTCACTAAATTTGGAAAGTTGTGACCGGAAAGCATACTTTTCTTTTTTTTTATTTATCTCTTTATTTTTAAATAGATGACTTTTTGAAACTGAAAATGAGTATAAAATTGTTTTTAATATATACAGACTCTCATTAAATTATGAGGAGTCTTTAAACTCTAGAGAAGTAGTCTTTAATGTTAAGTCTGAGAATGGTTAAGCAATGAGAAAAATGGGTAATGTTATTTCTTAAATGAATTAATTTTAATCGCAATTTCGACATTCATCTTTAAAACAAAAGAGATGAACAAACCAAATGTCAGTTCACAGTATTAATAATATATGAAATGGGTTCGTTGAGAATAGGTATCAAGGAACTACGTAATGCACAATATTGAATGTAGGGCATCGCACAGTACAGTAGCATTACAATAAAAGAGGAATAAAGTCGAACAGAGAATTTAAAATTAAATTTTTCGGTAAGAGACACAATTCGATTTGAAGATAAATTGAAACCACGTTTTAGCATTTTTATGATATCACAAAATATGCATGGTGTTGTGTTAAACGTTTTCCAGTTCTGACTGAGGTTGCCAGTGAGCACGAGGGGCTTCGGCGGCTTTAGGCTCCACACTATGGTGAAAACGCGGATTGACACTCACGATTTCACGAATTCACGGACGATCACTTTTTCTGGGACGCGGATTATATTCGCGACCGCGACGACTGTGCCATGTATCGTTAAGGCAAATGACAATGACAATTGTTACGAAACAAAATGGGTTTATTCATATTCACAATTTCGGAACACACGGCAATGGGTACATGATGCATGAACATCTCTCGACCTGTGATGCTAGTTCGGTTGTTGCCCGCTGGGGGGCGACCCTCATCCGAGTCAGGACAATACAAACGTCATTTCAAATTTTATTATTCCAATGTCTAGAGCATTCATGTTAACATTTTCTTTTGCGACTGAAATCTCAACATCACCTAACTCTAGTGTGAAAAATAGATTTTTGTCATTAATTGAGTGTTTTGAAGCCCCCAAGTCTATTACCCAAAAATCCGACATGTTACTATTAGGGTGACTTTCAATGCCCATGAAAACCACTACCGCTGCTTCGCTTTTCCTAGTTTTATTTTTTTCACGAAAGGAACACTTACTGTAAACATGACTGTTCATTGTTTTGCAAATGTTACAAAACTTATCAATTATTTGGTTTGGTTTTTCCCCATTTTTATTTTTATTTTTCTTCTTTCTACAGTAATCAGGTTTGATTTTTTACAAAAAACGCAGGATCTATCACTTTTATTTTTACTTGAGGAACTAGATCCTTCGTAAGTGTTGTAAGCAACTGGCTCCTCTTTATTGTTTCCTTTACGCCTTAATTCCTCTATCAACAATCTGGACTTCAAGTTCGTTAAGGTCTTTTTATTTTTATCGGTTGAATCCCAAGAAGTCGAAACAATACTCAGACTTGGGGGTAAGGTGGAAATTATCTTCGTCTGAAGCATTTCTTCAGAGATTTTACCATTGACTGCACTCAGATTTGTGTACAGATTTTCAATTTTACTTACATGCGTCATGATATCGTCACCTCTTTCATATTTAAAGTTGAAGAAGTCTTCCAACAGCTTGCACCTGTATTCCTCTGTGTCTTGATCAAAACGGTTCAGGATCACACTCCACATTTTGTGCGCCGAGCCGCAAGTCATCAGGTGCACCAGCACCTTCTTATCTACCGTCTGTATGATGACTTTTTGACAGTGGGTGTCATACTTCTTCCAATCTGCCAAGTCCTTCGCCGTTGCGTCCTTGTCCTCGTCAGTCGGTTTCCTTGAAAACCACTACTTACTTAATTCTACTTACAATCCCCTTCAGTTTGCTACATTTTATTTTGATATGAGGGTATGCAAAAGTAATACTTAAAATAAGAGGTGGTAAAACACTAACAGGCATGCAACATTACGGGCAACCATATTATTGGTGTTACTAATTGACCCACCATAATGATGTTTCACAGTGTGAGTATTCACATGCGGAGAGGCAGGAGATAAATAAGAATGCGCTGCGAAATCTGNGGGGGGGGGGGGGATGAAAATCCGTTTGACGTCTGTCCACGGATTCAGCAGTGGGAGACTTATGTAGAGCCCAGTTATACAAGTCTTGCACAGGCACTGCATAATCATGCAGCCTTCTTTGGTTTTTAGCAAATGATTTGAAGCTCTCACTTTTGAAGTGGAGGGAACAGATCCTCAGATCTTTATTTTCCAGCGACGGCATACCAAGGGCTTTGAGCCATTTTGATAACCTGTTGAGACACAAAGGTATTTTCTGTTAGAGTGATGGCAGAAAAAATATCAATTCAATTCATTTATTTAAGTTCTGTGACACATTAACGACCCCCTTTCTTTTTCCTTTTCCCAGGTGTGGACGGGCTCGGCTGTTGAGGCGGGGGGAGATTCGGGAAGGGTTCCCGACGTTTTGCGTTGTCACCTCCTCCCAGCGGTGTGAATCTGTTGTTTGTTGAAGTATTGGAAGACGGGTGAGTCTCCGCTCTCGGACCCCTGACACCTTGGTAGTTTCGAGTTACTACCTCCTGCCAGGTTTCCGAGTAGCCACCGCCTCCTCCGGGACGCGACGGTTCACCCCTGGGGGATGTCGGGGAAGTCGCTGGTTGTTTCTGACTTTCAGGCCTCGTTGGTTCAATTTTGTTGCCTTTCTGCCTTGACGGCATTTGCTTATCAGGCTGTCCCAGGCGCATATCGATCGCCCTGGTGACTTCCTCCCTGATTATTTTCGAAAATTGCATCATTAGAAATTCAGCGCCCCCTGCGTTGTTTACTAGGGTGACAGCGTCATTTTCGCTGCTTTTCGGCCTTTGTTGTTTAGGCGGTTGCAGGGGGTATGGCGGTGGTAGGGGCGGTGGCTGAGGCGGGACTTGTTGCGGACCTTGGGCCGTGACGCCAGCTGTTGACGTCGAGGGCTGAACCGGTACGATGATCTCCGGTCCGCCCCAAGGGTTGTTTTGGCTATTGAGGTCCTCATTCGCACTGGCGTCGTCTTCAAGGACTACGACGTCGGGCGTATCTGTAGGGGGCGGCGTAGATTTGACAGGGCTTGTCTGTGTGCCGCTGTCTCTGAGTATTAGGTCCTCGGGGTAGCTTTCGTAGCGGACCGCTCTCCCGAGAATTATGCTTGCGAGCTTTTGTTGGTTTTCTAAGAGCTCGTCAAGCATAGGGTTGTCTCGCTCCATGAAGTCCTTCCAGGAGTAGGTTTTCTCCTTTCTTCGAAGTTTTACAAAAGCATTTCGAAGTTTCTCTACTACTTTGGCACTTTTGTCGGCAATCTCGAAGGCCTCTTGGGCCTCCGCCTTCCTGTCCCAGTGTCTCTTTTGGGGACTGGGCGAACTGCTTGACAAGGAGCCGTCTGAGTGCCTTCGACGAGCTCTCTTGCCCGGTGTCGGGCTATCATTTTCTGGGCGGGGGAAGTCATTGGAGTTTGACTTCCTAATCCGCTGTTCCATCTGAAATATTTCCCTGGCTACGGTCCCTTGGGGGGTGCCGTATGCCGGGGAAGCGGTTTGAGTCCCCTCTCCGCCCTGCGTCTGCAGGGGGGTAGGGGTGCTCGGGGTGGCGTCAGGGCGTTCCGTTGAATCAAAATCGTGGGTCGAAATTCCGTCATGTGTTTCTGGACCGTTGCAGGATGAGGACCTGAGAGGGGCCGATCCATTTTGGACCCCAGTAACCTTCGAGCCAGAGTTTACATCCGACTCGGAGCTCCTGTCCGTTCCGGGAGTACCGAATTCTCCCGGCGGTGTTTGTTCCATTAGCTCGTTATTCATACTTGGTTAGCGGAGGGGCTGCCTCCAAGTTGTCTCGGGCCGTACCTGACTTCGGCCCGAGGGGTGTGCCGTCCTACTCCAGAGAGCCAGTGTGAGATGTTGAACAGGGGCTTGTGTGCGCTACTCTGGGTGATTTGGCCTGGTCGTCCTCCACCTGTAACAGAACGGGATGGAGGAGGAAGGATTGGGACCAGGGAGTTTGGTGACGGGGGGGGGGCGACCCGTTTGTGGGCGGCCCGCCCTCCCGTCGTCGACGCACTACGTTTAAACCCTGAGACTTACCTATGGCTCGGGGGGTAGTGCGCCAGGGCCTCTTCGTGGCTGCGGCGATGGGTGGGGCTTAGAGCTTGTCCGAGCTTGTCGGGGTTTAACGAAGTTTAGCTGGCTTGGCAAAGAAGAAAGGGTTAGAGTGAAGGGGCATTTCGGGGGGCCGCTCGAGGGAAAGACCCTCTAACGGTCCCCTTCGAGAGTGTGGGGGCGAGCTGGTCTGGCAGACTGCCAGACACGCGGAAAGAGATAGCTCGGAGGCCTAGGTAGGCAGATAGAAAAGACATAGGGTAGGGTGAAGAAAAGAAGAGAGAGCCGGCAGAGGTGCCGGAAAGGGGTGAGGGTGAGGGCTAGAAACAGCGCTTCGAAACTTAGCGCGAGAGACGAGAGACGGAGCCCGATAGGGGTGCTCCGGGATAGGCGAGGGGATAGACAGAGAAGAGGGAGAGAGAGAAGGCAATGCAAGGGGTAGGTCGATGCTCGAAGTGGAGGAGTCAAAGTCCCCGCCTGGCGCTGTCCTCGGCCCGGATCGCGGCTTTGGGCCGCCGACCCCGACGGGGCGGGACCGATCGCCCGAAGGCTCACGGCCGCCAACTCCCGCGAAACCAGAGGGCGACCGCTTCAGCACCGCTTGGCGCCGGTAGGAAAACAGGCGCTCCAAGAGGGTGGTGATGCGAGGCGGGGGGGCTCCGAGTGAGGCCTTAGAAGGGTGAGGCGGCTAGCGAAGAGGTAGGAAGCGTCGCGAGGGCGCTTCGGGACTCTAACGTTCGGCAGCGACGAGAGAGAGCAGCGCGAGGGCAAGCCGACGAGTTGCTCCGAGGGCGCTGCCGAGGAGGTGGACGGAGAGTGGGCTCGCGAATGCGAGGTGACGAGGTGACGAACAGAGCAGGGAGAAAGGCTAGCGGGGTTAGAGGAGGATCGACGATAGAGGCTAAGGGGTGCTCCGATTGGGAGACCCACATCGAGGAGGGATTACAAACGACCGGCGGTCCGTTAAGGACGCCCGGCCGTCGTCCAGAGAGAAATTCTGTCCGCGCGGAGGGTCCTGTCTAGACGACAAGACGGACCGTCCGGGCGTTTGCATCGTTACGATTCGTCTTCAATGAGTTCGCCCGATGCAGAGGAAGGGTGCTAGATAGATTCGGTGCTTTGGAACTTGCGTCCAAAGCGAAGGAAGAAAGCTGTTAGAAGGTGTTAGCCAAGAGAAAAACGTGTCTCCCGGTCCCCGGTGACGCTACGGGGCCCGAGGGGCAAAGCGACACGCGGGGGGCGGCGTCCAGAGCAGCGCGTGACCTGCACATCACGCACGCTCTAAACGCGCCGTTTAGAACACCGGGGTGCCCCGCTCGACTCTCGTACGAACCTCGGTTGAGCGGTCCTCGATTGAAACGAATCTGACGCTAGGGAGGTGCAGCTCCCTTTGCGCTCGATCCGCCCGGTTGAGGAGGTCGCTCGGCTGAAAGTTAGTACGATTGTCGTGGCGGGAGCTCTGCCCCGAAGGGTGAGCTGCACGCGACAGTTCTGTGCTGAACCCAGGAAAGAAACTAGTGGATTTGGCCATCGAGAAAGGAAGAAGAGTGGAGGAAGGTACGGTTTGAGTTTGCCATCGAAATTAGAGCTCACGTTTACGTTTATGACTAAAGGAGATGCCGCTTCTCGCTTCGCCACGAAGAGGGGAGTCCCTGCTCGGTATGAACCAGGGAGCCGGACGAGGACCAGAGGACTCCACGCTCCCCAACTTCTTGCTCCCCCGCTTCTCGCAGGGATTACAGAACTTTGTAACTGATTACAGAACTGCTACTGCGGACTACGATGACAGGGTAACTTCTCCAGCAGTGGTTTTTAAGGGCTCACAGCAGTTTTCGATTAGTCTTGTTGAAGATTTTTGGGCCATCAAAGTATGATTCATTACCTTGAAGTAACCATCCTTGGCTGGGGGTTTTTTTTTGGCCTAAACGCACTCATAGATAGTAGAAGAAGCTTAGGTCCAGACCGCTTTTTCCCTTTCGGGGATTGCGGTGTCTCCGAAGCAGTCGAAGTAGAAGGTGTTGGTGCGGGATTTGACAGTAGGGTTAACACCAGCAAGTGCTGCAACTGAGTTTGTTAGAATATAAACCATACAGTAGAAATACAATGATCAATTCTTAATTTAAACATTGAATATAAACTATACAGTATGAAAGCAATCATCAATTCTTAATCTAGTTAAGCTTGTGTGTTAGGCACATTTTGTCCAGCTGGAGAGTTGCAGATTACAATCTCAGAAATGTCATACTCTCAGTAAGTGATTAGGAAACCGATCTATTTTTGAAACAAGTCTTGCCACTATCGTGATAAGCTCCGAGAATTGAGTTGATTGTGTTTTTATCAACTCTGATTGGTGCTTCAAAATTATCATTTTACGTTTTGCCTGTCTGGCCGAGTTTTCTTTCGCAAAGGCGCGATTTTTCCTGTGGCACCATTACTTGATGGTAATTGTGGGATACCGTGTCTCAAAAACTGGAGATCATAAATATAGCATGTGATGAGGAACAACAATTAGAAATCAGCCACTGCAAGAAGTATTTTTGGCTAAGGACTTTTGTTATTTTTGCCTGAAGCTGCGCCATGTGGGATTGCTCTTCAATTCGATCATTACAGTAGTATAGGGAAGAACCCACTATTTCGACAAACTTCTCACAACAGTAGGTCAAACTTCTTTTCTCTTTATTATACTCCCTTGCAGCAATTAAAGAATGGCAGGGGCCGGGGGATTTGGCAAACAACCGATTACAGCATAGAGTACATTTCAATTTAGTGACTATTTGTTTAGCGACAAAGCCTGCAATATGTGCGATTGGTCGCGACTCGTTATCTCCTGCTTTGACAGAAGCCTTCAATTGGGCAGACCTTGCCAAAGTGTGGCTTAATTCTTTGTCGACTACAACAACAAGTTTCTCTACCTCCTTCTCAGTTGCTACTCCTTTTTCGTTATTTACAAGCAACACTCTTAAATTACTAAGCAACTTTACATTATCGTATTCACAATTTCCTTGAACATTAGAAGTAGTGGTATTATTAAGTACGGATGTTTTAAATCCTCCCTCAAATTGAGGTACATCTGGCCTCTGGTTGTTACCACCACAGCTACACCTAAAAGCTCCAAATTGACACTCAATTGGATCGGAATTAAGTCTCTTCGTATCTACTTAAAGAAAACCTTCCTTTCGCAAGTAATCATACACGCACCGTATAGCATGGAGAGTGGCCAGCCACCCATTGTGGGAAGGTGTACGATTTGAAGCGGAGTGCCCGACATATTCCATGTTGCTGATGAAGGTTTGTGCCGTTTTAAGTTGCTTGTGATGCAAGCTGCCAGGTTCCATACGCTTTAACAACGGCTTGCCTATATTTTACAATACATTTTTCATATAATTATCTTTCCTTTCTTTATTCTTTTTGCCACTTGTCTCTGTTGACAATCACCAAAAGAAAAGGAGAAAAAATTTAAAAAAAAAAAAAAAACAAAAGATTTCGAAGGGTTTTTTTTCCATAATTTCTCAAATTGCGTGTACCGAACGTGCTCTGTAAAGATTTTCTTGCATATTTCAAGTTCTTAATAATTGACAAGAAACAAGGGCCCCCTAATGTTACACCTCTTTTTCTCATCATTCTCCTTTCCATGACCAGCAAGTTCACAAAACTTTAAGGGGGGGGGGCAATTAAACGTGGTGTGTACTGACCTGAATAAGGTTTCCCTTTCACTTTGACCTTCAGTGTTATTCCTTTGTTCCGGAAATTGTTTCCTGTACACTTCAGCAAGTGGCAAACGTCATAAATTGTGTATATCCTGTGCCCATTGAATTCGAACCATGGCTCCAACCAAGTTGAGCCAAGAAGCTCTAGCGCCTTTACATTATTCCCGCCCAGATCGCAAACTGTGGTCACAATTTTGAAGCCTGCTTCTTCCACCTTAGTGATGACTTCTTTGATAAGAACAGACAACCTTTCTCCTGTTGTTGACGCACTACTGAAATAATGTGCAACAGGCTGCTTGTACTTCTTCCGCAATCCTTGGATCATAAAAACCAGCGCTTGTTCAGAAATTTTCTTAGAGCGACCCTTAGAACAGTAAGAATACCCCATATCCAGATAAGTAATCTCATGAGGTGAAGCTAGGACACTTTCTTTAAGGATTCTTTTTTATTAGGAGAACAAAACTAATTGGAGAGATCTCTGTCATTTCAACTGTATACACGTGGAATAATTAGACAGAAATTTCTACTTACAACAGTGCAAATTGTACACTTCAAACGAATATATTGCTAACAAATTGGAGTACTTTTGGAAGAACCACTTATCTTCCTTATGTCATTTACCATTCCAAAGGAATAAGTAATGAAAGTCTAGGGAACGAAAGGGGCAGAATAGACAGGTTACACAAGACTCCATCAGCTGATGATTATTCATTTTTGCTTTGCATTGTTGCAATTTCTCCACCACGCCCCCTTAAAAATTATTTTTGGAAATGAGACAATTCCCTAGCAGTGAGTATTCTTTCAATTAGAGCGCACCAGGGGTGATGAAAAAAATGTAACAAAGAACTCAGCTGATATGAAAGCGAATTAACTTTTGCTCTCGCAGCATTGCCATATTTCTGAAAAATGAATTTCAAACCACATGCTCTTACTAAATTAGACCATTACATGATAACCAAAAGAAAAGAACACATGAAACAGCGCACAAACCTGATTTCCATGGTCTTGAAAGCCATCGATTCTGTCTGTTTGCGAATTGTAACGCATGCTCTTCCGAAGTGCCATTTCGCCGAAAATCAGAGAAACATATCTATCTTTAAAGTCCAAGTTCTTCAACGAATCTGCTAATGCATTTAAGACTTGCTCATTGACGCCCGTGGTTAGAGGCAGACGCCCAAGGAGAGTTCTTAGAGTGCGTCCAGAGGGGAGAGGAAATAATTTCCTTAGCCGCCTGTAGCTACGCGGTGAATTCTTGAATAAAGTGAGCGCCTGTAACTTTTCATCGGTGGTCCAACGACGACCATTCGGTTTGCTTGAGACACACCGCAATGTGGCTTCAACGATTAATTTTAATGAATTGGGCAAATTTTTGAATGCCGAAAGCTCCATGACATTGAGCTTTGAGGTTTTTTCTTTTAGTTTATCGTACTCTCTTTTTAATCGAGCCACTTCTTTTTCTCTTTTTCGGTGAGAAAGTACCAAAAACTGTTTCTTTGGAGTTAGAGAGCTTAGACGGGTTACATTCATTTGTTGTAAGATAGAGCGACGTGCAGCTGTTCTCTTCCTCTTTTTTGTTGGCAATGTTGCAGTTGGTGTGTTCGCTCCTATGGAACGTGTTTTAGTTGGGGTGGTACAGTGGGGCGTTGTTTGAGTTAGAGTATGATGCGAGTAGGGGTGTCCATTGAGGTAAGCATTTGTGGTTGGCTAGCAGTGTCCATATGTGGTTCTCCATCTATCTCCATTCGAGAGATGAAAGTGGAGGCAAAGGTAGGAGAGGAGGGTGAGCTTGAAGGATCTGGAATTACTGGGGTGGTAGGTGGAGATTGGGGAGGAGGGTACTCTTGGAAGGAATGAAGGAGGAGTGGGAAGTTCAGGAGTGACAGCAAAAACGGACTTGGAGGAGGAAGATGAGCAAGAAGGCAACCGAGTTTGGCAAGGAAATTCAGGAGCAGCTGTAGAAGGAGGGCTTACAGAGAAGTGCAGACTTGAGGAAAACGTGGCAGAGGCAGTTGGTGCAGGTGTTAACAAGCTGGGAACGGAGTGAATGTGAAGTCTCGTAGGAGCGACATCTAAGAAGGCATCAGCTTTGAAATGATCCGCCTATATAGACTTGTGTCCGGAGTATAACTTGACCAGTTTTTCCGTAGTATCCCAGATTTTGTCTGGTTGTGCAAAGGCCGCCCATTGTTGGCACCTGGAACAGAGGGAAAAAATGTGGAGATATAGACAAGTGGTGTAGGACAAACAGTTAAATAATCCCCACAGTTGCACCAATACTCTTTCAAAAATCCACCAGAAGTGATCCACCAGAACTATTGGGGTGAAATTTTTGGGCCCTTCATATTTGGAGGGAATTATTTGACGGCCGCTATCAAATCACAATAAGAAACAAGTTCCTAACGACTAATTTAAATTGTTGATAAACTGCTTGAATTCGTAATAACCATCCTGATATTGCTGCATAATTCCCTGCCACCATAGAAATTGTACACAAATAATGCAACACAGGCTCCTTCATCCGAACTTGACGCCCCCCTCTCTTCTTGAAGAATCGATTGGTACAGCCCGTTTAAGATTGCTTTTCCTCTTTCACTGTATGCGCAGGATACAGCAGTAGCCGAAAAATAATTAGAGACGGGCTCTAGCTAGTGGTAATGTAATTTATCATAATAGCTCAAAATTTCAAAGTACAGGCATTCCTTGACTGTAAGAAATCTACTGTATCCAGCCCAGTGCTGCCAACCCAAAAGCCGGAGAAGCCCCTCGAAAAAGCCGGAGATTTCCGAAAAAAACCGAAGATTTTTGAAAAAGCCGGAGATTTGGGGAAAAAAGCCGGAGTTTCCACGAAAATTAGCGGTTTTCCTGTAATTAACTGAAACTATCTGTATTTTGACGTAAAATTCTCTCTTCATTATTCTCAGAGTGAATGTAGGCCTTGGTGGGACACTGATCAGCCATCTTTTTTATGGCTGCGCGAGCGCGCGTAATTTTGAAAACACGTTTCATCCATTTAAAATTGGCCTCATTTTTGACGTTCATTCAAAACCATGAAAAGCATGATAAAGCTTTTAATTTTGAATTGTGAGTTGGATTTTTGAAGGATTCTTAGGAAATATTTCTCACCCTAACTCCTAAGAAGCTTGTGGGTGGCATGGGACTGGACGACTTGTTAATCGAAAATGGTTACAAAAATTTTCAGCTATCTTGAAACCAAAATATTGATGGTGTTAGTCCAAAATCACGTAACTCGTTTGCGGTGTTTCAAAATCTCTACTGTTGATTTATTTTTTTAAAGAGAAGCTATCCGAAATTTTTTCCTGAAACTTCCCTCAAATTTTCTTTTCCTATGAAGAATATTTGGTGAAGAGTTCAAGCAATAATTTTTATTAGTTTATCAGTAAAAAAGTAAAACAATAGTGGAGATTTTGAAACACCGCAAACGAGTTACGTGTTTTTGGACTTACACTACTGAATTTCCTTCAGCTCAAATTCCTCGCATACCAGCTGTCAGCTGTTGTAGGTATTCTTCTGCGCAGCTATTCTGAAAGGTGTTCGAAGCCATTTTTAAAAATAGATAGTCCCTGGATTACTTAGTTATTAATTTATTGATGAAAGCCATCATCTAGGGAGAAAAAAAGCCAACTGTTTTGATTCTTTCGTTTGACAAGACTGACTTGTCAGATCTACAAACAAATAGACACTATTAAAATCAGCGTATCAATAATAAAAGTCTACAAACACATATCTTGCTTGCATCATTTCAAAATATCTGCTGCTGTTACTTGTCTTTACACAAAAATTAATGAACATTATTTTTTTTAGTTTTTACAGAATATTGCAATATCGCAAACGATATACATGTTACTACACTCTCACAACCAATGAGGTTAATACTACTAACTACATTTGAGTCGCAGAGGATCACAATTTGGATTTCTCTTGGGAATAACTGCTTTTATTTATTTTTTTTTTATATGAGAGGAGGAATAAAAAAGACAAAAGTTAAGGAAGAGGCACATTTTATTAACAACTTTAGAGTCATTTTAGTTTGATACATAGACTAAGGCGAAGATCAGAGCTTTTCAAAGATCTCTCTTGTACTATACCTCGAAATTCAAGATCAATTTTTTGAATTGAATCATAACAGAATCATAACGAATTCAATTGAATCATTGAATCATAACGGATAACCCGGGCCATAACATCTCCTAATGACAGCCATCGAGTATCTACTTTTTTCAACATTTTATTTGGTTTAAGCTCACATATAACCTGACACGCCTTCAAATGCGCATATCTGATGGCACTATTTTTAATAAAATTGCAAACGTCTCGTAAGCAATCTTCTGAATGTCTAGGGAGCTCTGCAACCCCTTTATTTACTCACAATGCAAAAGAATGGCAAATACATGTTGACGTAAAAAGAAAAGGACAATCCTTCATTAACAAAGTTTTAACTGAATGGTGACAGCCATGCATAACATTACAACCATCAGCACCAAACCCAATCAAGTTTTCTTTATAAGGAACATCTTTCTGCTCAAATGACGTTTTAACTGAATTATAAAGAGATACATGATCTGCTTTACCTTCAGGGAGAGTAATTAAATCAAAGAATCTATCTCTGGCATCGCACACTTTACTGCCGAAATACCTAGTGGCCAGAACAAGGTTTTTTGAGTCGCCTTTGTCAGTGGATTCGTCGACGATAAGGGAAAGCTTTTGCTTTTTTAAAATGTCGCTTAGTTCATCTGAGCTGGCTTTTGAAGGAGCATGAACTTCCTCTGAATGTCTACTCTTGGTTGGAGGAGCGTGAATTTCTACTTCTACAGTAAGGTTTCGCTGCTGCGGTTGGTTTGAACCTGAAACAACACAGAGCTAGAGCGTCAAAAAACCTGTTGAAGCTAACTTGTCTTTTCATGCATGATCCTGGAATTTGGCTTTGGCTTGTGAACTGAATTATTCAGATTTTTAAACTCTATATTTTGATAATGCCCACCCCACGGACAAGAAATGTCTTTGAGGTTCAAACACCGCAAGTTGCTTGAGAATGTGTAAGAAAAAGCCAATTAAACTGCAGTGGTTGACCAGAAGTAAGATGCGTTTCAGACATTTTACCACCGCATGCTATGCTTCATGGTGGCGTTCACCACACACTCAGCGAGTGCTACCACGGAGTATGGTATGTGCCCCTAAAAGTTTGGCGCTAGAGGTTTCGCTGATTAGCTTTGAAGTGGTAGGCCACTCTGTTTACATCCGTTCAATGTTCAATGCTATGATTGACTGTGGGATCTCCAAATCTCCTCAAAACTTCCGCAGAAAGCGAAAACGCTTGTCTGCGCAATGGCCTACCAGTTCAAAGCTAATCGGCTCGGCCTCTACCAGAAAGTCTCATGACGTCAAAAGCGCACTTTCCTCCAGGTAATGCACACCAAACATTTTATTCAGGGTAAAAGGAAACAAGTCAATTTTTAGGTTAGCCATGGAATGCATAAGAATGATTTCATGACTCACGTCAAAACAGACGAGTTTCCTATTGGACATGACTCCACAATGTATGACTTGGTCTTGATCAAATGTCTATCCAAGCCAAGAGGAATGAAGATGAAGAATACTTAATTACATAACCTAGTCCGGAAAAAGGAGTTGGAAACTTACTGCAGGAATCATCGTTCGAGGATAGGTGAAGTTGTATCTCTTCTTCTTCCACATCCACTTCCATAGTTTAGTTTCAATAATAGCATTAATAGCACCACATTTAATTAAGAAACAAACACGAACACGTAACGTAACGTAACACGGTAACAATGATGATGGAGATTGATCAAGGACGAAAATTTCCGCGAAACAAAAGAATTTGAGCGGGTAGATTGGGCAGGACTGTTGCCAACGTTTGCAGAAAAGTGTCCCACGTGCACACGTGCTCATCCCTTGTTTAAATTGTTCTAAACGGGTTTTTACCGAAATTTTAAGTTAGATAGTGCAATATTTAAAAAAGCCGGAGATTCTGCGTTAAAGCCGGAGAAGCCGGAGAAAAACTGGAGACGGGCAAAAAAGCCGGAGGGTTGGCAGCACTGATCCAGCCATGTGCCTCACAATCACACGTAGACCTCCCTCGGAATGTATTTGCCGTCTTAACTTCAGATTTAAAGTATGCCCTGTTGTGCTACGGCAATTTTTGAACTTTCTGAGGAAACATAGTTCAAAATATCTTTCAACTTTCATTGACAGAATACATATGTAAAATCCTGCTCAGAAATTGGAATGCAATAGGAGAAATAACAGATGAGGAAATAGTTAAATATGAAACGTGTGTTACCTTTCCATGTTGGTTTTCCCCGGTCTTGGAAACCGATAAAAGTTCTTCTCTGATTCGGAGCTCTCGTTGGAGCAACTAGCGACTTTTATCGACTTTGACTAGGAAACACTTATTTGAATCATGCTTGATCCCACCAAAAACCCATTGGCGGATTTTCTTCCGGGACCCACGATTGCACTTGCGCTTTCCAAACATGCTCTCATCAATTTGGACGATACGGCCCGGTCCACCAAGAACCACACTCTCCCGACCAACAATTTCGGTGGCAACTTCCCTACAGAAATTAAACCAATTAACGACAGCTTCGGAGCGAATTCCTGTCTCGTGGATAACTAGCTGTTGCGAGTATTTTCTGCACCACATGTAGGTTAAAAGCATTATTTCCCGGAGAGTTAATTTAGATTTCGAAAACCACGTGCCGTTCCGAAGAGATCGGGCTACCTTGCACCCTGAGCGATTACACCGCTAAGCGAACCCGTCAGAAAGGTCATTTTTCGGCTTGAGCTGCATAGAATTACGGCACTTTGGACATAAAACATCTTTTGATACTAAACCAAACCGCTGCAATCCTTTAATATAATCTACTCGAGGTAAAGTTTCTAAACGGAGGATTTCGCGAAAAGTACACGCCACTTCGCATATCAAAACGAAGCTGAATTAAGAAAACACGGATATCAAAACAAATCTCAATTAAGAATGAGAGATCAACACCCAAGGCGATAGGAAGAAAAACACCTACGGCGATGCAACCTGTCACAACAATCAATTTATCAACAATCTAGAAGGCGGCGACAGGTGTCATTGTGAGTGTGACGCGGGCGACGGCAATCGCGCCCCGCGTTCGAATCTCCCGCGCCCTAGTGAAAAACATGTTAAGTTGGTACCACTGAATGGCTTCTCCGCCGTGGATCCCTAACCTTCCAATGTAAACAAGGTGGAGTCGGATACCGAAATTCTGCCCAACAACTATTGCGTAGATCCCGGTTGCTCGAAGAACCACGGTTACTTGAAAGGACCCCGCACGGTTCTTATGGAAAATTGCCCTCGGTCAAATGCGTTGAAACTTCAGTATGTTGTGCAGCATGTCGTCATGAACAAATGTTCCAATGGGCCAAACAAGATTCTATGTGTGGTTTTCGAGATATTCCTCGTTTTTGGTGTGTTTCGCCTCTATTCCGCCCCCTCGCTGGAGAACCGAACTACTGTGCGTCGCTACTCGGATGCTTCCCCTTCCTGCCCCGCACGGCCCTCTCCGCTTCCCCGACCTCCTAGCTCATGAAGTCTCGGACGCGCCGCTCTCGTGGCATTGTTTACACTTGCCGTCTTTTCCTTTCGTCTCTCTCGTTTCCCTCCACCAATCTTCCCATACTCGATCAAAAAGGCGGTGAATCTGTTGCCCCACCAGGAAAAAGAATGTAACAACTACAACGATTAAATAAAAGAAAAAGAAAATACTTATTAATGACTCAAATATATTGTTACCTTTAGCTGGATGCGAAAGTTAAGAATTTTCGTGCTGCCTGTTGGCTGCATCCATTACCGATCCTAGGAGAGATGTTGGGGGGTAACGGACATTTTCTTGGTGTGCAGCAAATCCAAGGAACCAAATAACACTTGCTACGTAGCTACAGGTGCCGAGAGTTCTTGCGCCGGATTTGCAAGTGCAATAGTACCCTTGTACCTTGTCAGTTTCCTCAAGAACTTGTGGATCATTTGACGGTATGTACGCTATGAAGATCTGATGTTTTGAGGCATTTTGAAATCTGGAGAAAATTCGTACCCGTAAGAAGCCTGGTTCATTGAAATGGCAATCAACTTGGAGTTCTTCATCGCCGTCTCTTTGAGTTTTATCTTGAATATACGATGGTGATAATTTCAGTTGGAATGAACCGTGTGTTAATTTCTTAAATTCGGCTAAATTGAAGCGTGGGAAATGTTGAATTTGATGATGATCTGGACGTCTCCACAGTGCATTTCGTCGGCACAATCCCTCGGCCTTCACCCGAGCTTGCACAATATTAACCTCTTGCGCTTCTGCCAACAGTTCGCGGGCTAATTCAGGGTTTGCCTCCTCCATTAATATTGTATCATGATATTTGTTGATAATAGCACCTGCAATTTTGTAAAATTCTCCCAAATGCGTTAGATGAGGCATTGGAATAATATCTCCAAGGAACTTAAAAATTGATTTGATGTGTCCGTTTCGTGCTTCCACAATCCATCTTGTTTTCGTTACCAGTCGGGACTCGTTGGCCTCGTTGGTAGAGAATTGCTTCTTGCCTTTTTCGAGAAGATTTGGCATTTCAACGGTAAATCCAGAATCTTCGAGGTAAGATACGACGTCACGGTAACCCCGGTCAACAATAAAGATATCGCCATTTTCAAACCAACTTTCCATCGCTGGATCAACTTCAAATTCCCGAGACAATATTTTTGCGTCGTTATTGTGACTGTCAGCGAAATGCGGGCCTTGAATACTCAAAATAAATCCATCAGGAGCTACAATTAAAGTAGGTTTGATGAAGTGTTTATGTTTATGAGGCGAGAACGATTGGCGAAGAACACGGAAGTTTGAACTTTTATTAATATAAGAATAAGTTCCATCTACGTATACAATTGCTTTACGATTTCCTGGAGTAGGGTTGTAAAGTTCATTGTGAAAATCTGTAACATGACTTTGAATAAAGGCCTCTCGAGTTATAGATGCAAACCCAATATTTTGGGGGACGAATTTTTGCATCAGTGATTCTCTCACTAGAGCGATTTTTTGGCTTACGCATTGTCTCGTGGGGTAATTAAATATAACTTTCAAGAAGCTATCGGACAGGCCCTGTCTCAATTTGCACAAAAAAAGGAGAAGATCTTTCTGCCTTACGTACCGCAATGTTCCGTCATTCTGCAGCACAGGATCGCAAAATAAAAAAAGTTCTTCGAATTGGTTTTTTTTAACGGGAGCTACAACGGAGAAATCTGCCTCGGTGAAGTTATCAATGTCTTCAAAGTTAGATATGGGCAAGTTTTTTGCGGCGTTTCGCATACCCTGTAAGAAGGACATTAGCTCTCTGCTCGGAATAACATGAGGACGATTAACAGACCTTAATTGTGACTGGGACTCAGGATGCATGAACCCATCTTCGTTCAAGTGTGCAGGACAAGACCTGCAACCGCTAGGCAGGAAAATATTTTTGGTGACAAACACATTGACCCGACAGTTCAGAGTTAGGTGCACCTGATTGCCCTGATTCTGGCACACGACACAAGATCGCCCACCTACACCGAAAACGACATTTAGTCTGAAACAATTTGGGTCTTGTGAAGCTTTCACTTCATTTCCAACACTTTTATCACAATTTAAACATAAACGTGTGTCCACGACAATATGGGCCGGCTCATGCTTCAGCTCGTCTCTCCTGAGCGTCGCGATGCGTCTCCTATCCTCAGACAGGTGAGGATCGTCCGTAATTAAACGCCGAAACTCGCGACTATTTTGTGATGCTCGCAAGCACACATAACATGAATATTGAACCCCGAACGGAATTGAAACTCAGCAGAATTTATAAAGAAGCCGAAATTAACAAAATCAATCTATTTACTAAATGCGATTGAACAAGAAACCAAAAAAGATAACCGAAGAAACCGAAATTCCGAAAACTGAGGTTCGAAAAATCCTGCGTGTGATAGCTGATGAGTAACTCGCTTACGCACTTCGTAACTCATTCGATAGATACTAAATCGGCGTGGAAAATCTGATGAACTGATTTCTGTGATCACAATGTAAGTTTATCAAAGGTGCCTCAACGCACCTTGGATGATAACATCAGCCGATGATACCGCCGATGCTTTCGTTATCAGCGAATTTTCGGTTTCACCCAATACTTTCATTCGAAATGCTGCTTGTGCAATGTTGGCTTGTATGAATGCACCTACTTCGTGTTATGCCGTTATTCCTGCAATATTGTAGACGTAACTTTGGATTGTTCGATTAATGTTTATTTCTTTGGAAGCAAAATGTTTTGACCCCTCTAGTAGTTCCTAGTAGTTGCACGTCATGTCCGGTTTATTTGAGCGAAAACAATTTCATATTGCCAGAGTTTTTATTAGAATTGCGGTACATAAATATATCCTTCCTGGCAAGAAGCTTTTGCTTCTTTTGTGCCAAGTTTTTGCATAACCGAAGCGAAATTTAAAAAAAAAGTAGAAAACGGAGACCATAGTACCAAGGAGGGAGTCAGTACACCATGTTAACACTGGCCAAGCAAAAGAAATAATAATAAAAAAAAAAATAAGTTCATAAAGACTGCATTTCAAAGAAGAATGTGTCATACACAGAGAGGAACCTTTTTTTACATAAAATCTTGACAAACGCTGTCTTTTTGATTGAAAACGAGAAGATTGGTGGAGGGAAACGAGAGAGACGAAAGGAAAAGACGGCAAGTGTAAACAATGCCACGAGAGCGGCGCGTCCGAGACTTCATGAGCTAGGAGGTCGGG